AATTCATGTAGAAATAACTCCTAAATAACTACTAGTGTGGATGCTCTAATATTCTAATATTGCATTTTGTAACTGTGTTTAGTTACCATTTGTTTTTCACTGCTTATGCATTCCACTTAGTTGCCATTTTTTTTTTCATCTACTAATATTAATAATATTCTAATATTGCCCCTTGTAACTGTGTTTAGTTGCCATTTGTTTTTCACTGTTTATGCATTCCATTTAGTTGCCATTTGTTTTTTCACTATTTATGCATTCCATTTGTACTGATATAGTTGTTCAATGGTTATGTTAATTATTAAGGACGAATACATTTGTTGGAAATTCGTTAATGTTAGTTGGCATAGTTGTTTATTTGGAATAATTAGTTAATGTTAGTTAGCATATAGTTGTTTAACAATTTTATTCGTATTTGATATTTTGTATTTTGAACATTTTTTAATTCATTTTACCTTTGTTTTTTTGCCCCCACTCAACGTAAATCCTGGCTGGGGGTGCGCAGATGTAAACGACATTGGAATATAATCAAAAGACTATGCAATGAGCTCAATCAAGAGATTGTTGGCATGAACCAAAGTAGATAATTACAAAGCGATTGCTGTTGGGAGGATTAAAAATGTTGTAGTTGTTGTCAAGTCTTTGTTAATGCATCAATTTGAAATTAATATATACATGTTTTCATAATTCAAGTTGAAAATAAACGGTAGAAAATGACAAAACGTTTATGGTTGAGAGGATAAAAAATGTGGTAGTTGTTGGTAAGTGTTTATCAATGAATATATCAAATACTAAGTGGCTTGTAGTCCACTTGTATTGGGTTGCTCCCCCAAGTGGGAGGTGTAAGGTTCAAGTCTTAGTCGAGCTAGTAGTGAATACCACATAATATAAATAAATAATGAATATATCAAATTGAAATTAATTATTTTATTTGTAGGAATACCATAAATACATTGTCACAGTTCTCTACCCTTCAACATTTTCTTATATAAATTAAAGCCGTTTCTTCCGATTAATTTCTGCGACTATATATATATCAACTGCTCTCTATTCTCTGATTTCTCTCCATTTCTTCCTTTTATTTCTACTTTGATGAAACATCTGTCTTTTTAAACACATTCATCACTTGCAGAGGTAATTAAGTCCTTTCTCAAATATTATATTTTTTCACTAAAATTGTTCCTTTCCTCAGTTTTCTGCTTTCGTATATATATAAACTATACTTGCTTCTGTATTGTAATGTTCATTAGTTTAACGATGGTTAGTGCAGATTTGCTAGGCTATTAATTCATTTGATTCTTTTTATATCTAATTTCAGCTATATGCTATATCTTTGACAAGTTTTCTCAATCAACGTAACTCGAGGTCTTCGATCATATTAAGATCATATCAAAGTTTGTGTACTTATAAGGTAAGTTACATTCTTTAATTTCTGAAATAGTTTTGTTAGTATGAATTGTATGTGACGTTTGGTTTGTAAAATACATTGTGAATGGAATATCATTCTGTATAATAGATCTATTTCAATGTTTGATTCAATTTTTATAGCAAGGAATAGAATTCTATGAAATGAGCTAATTAATGTCTTTGCAATGAGTATAGTCATTCCCAAGCCCCCTTTGTATTATCTATTCTTAATTACCCAATTAAGAATAGCTAATATCTCCCTTTCCAAAAAAAAAAAAAAAAAAGAAAAAGAATAGCTCTCTCTCTCTCTCTCTCTTTCTCTCTCTCTCTAGGGTACACGAATTCTAAACTTAGTATATTTTATTTGTATGTGTTTTATTTTGAATATGGTATTTTCATTATTTAAATGATATTAGTTGGTTCACAAAACACAAAAATATGATTTCTCATATAGTTGCATGTTTATTTATCTTTTGAATCAAACAATAGAATTGTATTCAAATTCTATTCCTTTCTTATTTCATTTCTGTTAGTTTGAATTTCATCAATTCAAATTGAAATCAACCCAAATTTCTTTTTAGTATAGGTTTTACCGTGCTGCATATAAAAACAAACAAATGAAAACAAAAATAAAAATTTTAAAATTTGCCTTCATCCAAGGCAAAAACCATAAATGTCTTAATTTTATGGTTTCTGCCTTCTTTGTATAACAAGTAATAAAAAGATTCAATTCTGATTCATGGTATATTATATTGGTATAACAGTTGTATTCAGATATATATATTTCTTAGTAAAACAAGTAATAAAAAGATTTTTTTTTTGAAGAAAGTAATAAAAAGATTCAATTGACCAAAAAGATAAATTAACGACACAATTAACTAAGTAGTAATAATTACATAAGGGTCAAAGGGATATTTTGCCAATTTTAATTTATTTTATGATTTGATAAATATTCATTATAAACAAATGGAAATAAAGGTATAGTTATACTTAATTAAAGTATATAATTATTATCACAAAATTAAATATGCCCATGCAAAGGTAAACCAATTAAACAATTAAAAATACACAACAAAGTCTCACATCCTATAAAACATTATTCCAATTGAATAAAATACAACATGTAATCACAAGTTGGTCAAATTGTTGACTTAATAATCACAAGATTATAAATTCAATTCTACGTGCTATTAACCTATTGACCTTCTTGGTTTAAACAGATTAGCACAACTATGAAAACCCTAATAAGTTGATTAGCAACCTATTGGACCTTTTTTTTTTTTTGAAAGCAACCCTATGTTTGTTTTAGTTAATCATGAAAATTAAAAGTGGGGTTTGAAAATTTTAAACTTTATTTGTTCTATTTTAAAAGTTAATAATTTTTTTACTTAAAGCAATGAACTATCACATGGAACGTTTAATACTTTTAAACTAAAATGTAATATTTTTTTATGAGTGTATAAAAAAGTATTCAATTTTAACTAAAAAGTATTACACGTCTCACGTGAGAGCGCCTCACGCATGAACACCATAGACATTGGACCAATCCATATAAAATTGTTTTTACCTGCATAAAATCATTGAATTGAATTGAATTTATGAAATATGATGAAATCTACAACAAAATTGAAGGAAAATAAGCTGGGAATGATCGCACAACAGTAAAATTAAAGAAGAATGGTTGAGAATGATTACCGAAGTTTATGTAAAATTTTTATTTCAGATATCTAGATGAACGGCTTAAATCTCACTCCATTTTTTACCAAGTCTTTTGCACTTATCCTAAACCTTGTAGCATATTAACAAAAAGATACATTTATGTTTCATAAAAAGTAAAAACCTCAATATTAATTAATTTATATACCCTCTATGCTAGCGATATACTCTTTTCGTTTCATCATGTACTTAATCTTATAACTTGAGTCACACTTGTGAGAGACTCCGACTTTTAATTTTCCACAATTAGTCATTGACTTTTAATTTGGACAATTTAAACCTTTGACTATTAAAAAGTTTTCAATGTTGGTCCTTTCGTTCCAATGTAGTTAAGTGGACGTTAAAATGAGGTCTAAAACCGTCGTTTAACCCCCATAGCGTATTTTCCAACAAAAAAAAAAGGAAAAGGAAGCGGTTATGACCGTGGCGGAAAAGGAGAGGGAAGAAAGGACGCGTGGGTGATGGGCGGACGCGACTACGAATACGGCGGAGGTGGCGTTGTGAAAGAGCCACCGAGCCTGGTGCCGCCGTCACCACCTCCGGCGAGGAGATAACCCAAGGCGGTGGACGAAGATCTAACATCCATAGCGCATTATACATCATAGTTCTCTTCCATATACGCAATTGATGGAGGTCGCTGCTCACCGGAGATGGAGGTCTTCGGACCTGCTGCCTTCGCCGAGAAGAGGGCCAATCGTCGTTGCTGTTGACGAGAGAGGGAGAGAGGGAGGGAGGAGCGAGAACGAAGGTTCAGCAGCCGTCGCCCACCTGCTACGCCGGAGTTTGCCTTCTGTTGGCCGAGCTCGCCGGAGGAGAAGAAGGCGTTGCAGGATCTGCTATCATCTATGTTTCGCCGGATCCAGTGCCATCTCTGTTTCGCCGGATCTAGTGGCGATGGCTTTGGTGGCCGTTGATGGGGTTGCATCTTGCTGCGAGAGAGAGAGAGATGGTGATGGTGGGTGAAGCCGAGGGAGAGAGAGCAGATAATACAAAGGGGGTATTTTGATTTTAATACGTATATGGAGGAGAACCATGATGAATTATACGCTATGGATGTTAAAAGACTGTTTTAACCCTCATTCTAACGTTCATTTAACAACATTGGAACGAAAGGACCAATATTGAAATTTTTTTGATAATTAAGGGTTTAAATTGTCCAAATTGAAAGTCAAGGACTAATTGTGGAAAATCATGATAGTCAGAGGACTAATGCTAGAATTAACTCAATGTAATACTAACAAGGAAAAAAGTGATTTTTACATAAGATAAAAATGTAAAGTATTACATTTTTCTTTAAAAGTATTATACTTTCCCATACAAGTAATAAATACTTTATTTCTTATTAGTATTATATTTTCCAATACAGTATTACATTTTTTTCTTGACCCAACCTGATCCATAAGAATCTGTGAGATGGTTTCACATAAGTTTTTTCCATCACTTTGTTACTTTGTTTTTTTTTTTTTTAATTATTATGATTGTCCAAAAATTTGAATATATATATATATATATATATATATATATATATATATATATCTAACCAAACCATATAATTGTAGGCAGAATACAACGTATTTGAGATTAGAAAGATGCCAAACATCTCTAACCCATACAATGATAAAGTTGTGGGTTTCAAGAAGGAAGCAGAAACAATCATAAATCACCTTATTTATGGGTCAAAGGAGAGAGAAGTTGTTTTAATTACAGGTATGGGTGGATTGGGAAAGACAACTTTAGGTAGGAGAGTGTATGAGGAGAAAAATGTAGCCAACCACTTTGACAAGAGTGCATGGTGTACAGTTTCTCAAGAATATGATTACAAGGACTTGTTGAACAAAATATACATTCAAGTATGTGATATGGGGATAGAGATTGGCAATGTAGCTGAAGAGCTTCGCAAAACTTTGATGGGAAGGAGATACCTCATAGTGTTGGATGATATTTGGAGTGAGAAAGCATGGGAAGACTTGAATAGAGTTTTTCCCTCATGTGACAATGGAAGTAGAATTGTCGTAACAAGTAGACAAGAAAGTGTGGTTTCTGATGCGAAACATATTTGTCTTCCTTTCTTCACAATTGATGAGAGCTGGGAATTATTGCAAGTGAAGTTATTTAAAGGGAAGGGATGTCCCAAAGAGCTTGAAAGTATTGGCAAAGAAATATCTAAAAAGTGTGGGGGGCTACCGTTGGTAGTTGGTTTGGTAGCCGGGCTTCTAGGAGGAGTTGAAGAGAGTGAGCAAATGTGGCAAGAATTTTTTCTTACTTTAAACTCATGTGCTGGGTTTAGGGAGGGAATACAGAGCAATGATGCGATAAAACTTAGTTACCACCATTTATCATATAATTTGAAACATTGCTTACTTTACTTTGCATCATTTCCAGAGGATGAAACAATTGAAGTTTTCTATCTAACAAAACTATGGATATCTGAAGGGTTCATAGACATTAAGAAGGAGGAGAGAGTAGAAGACACGGCAGAGTATTGCTTGAACCATCTGGTTGGCAGTAACTTAGTAATGGTTTCTGAAAGGAAGTACGATGGTGGCATCTTATCATGCGTTGTTCATGATTTGGTACATGATTTTTGCTTAGCCAAAGTTAAAGAGGAAAATTTCTTGCACATAATTAAGATGGAAGATAAGTTGAATCCAACTCTGGAATTTACTCCGCACCGAATATCTTTCCATAGATATGGTTATAATGATGAGATTCCTAATGAATTGGTACCATGGAATTCTTCTATCCACACACTTTTGGGTTACCCAAAGGTGAAATTCATATACAGTGGTGCAATGGTTTATAATGGCTCATGGGTTGCCAAAAAATTTGAACATCTCACAATTTTGGATTTAGAGTTTATTGTTGTGGATAAAGTAATTTTATCTGAAATTAACTCACTAATTCATCTAAGATACCTAGCTCTCTGTCTATGTGGATGTGGTTCTGTCTCACCATTGTCATTGAAGAATCTTGAGGGTCTCATAACATTAAAGTTGACTTCAGGCAACGATTTGCATTTGCCAAAATATTTTTGGAATATGAAAAGTTTGAGGCATATGATTATCCACCACTATTTTTGTGATTCATGCCCAAAAGTACCAACTCCAGTTATTGAAACAAATTCTGGTTTAGAAGTCTTAGATTTGAAAACTTCTTTGAGTACAAGGGATGGGCATTTATTGAGGAAGTTTCCCCATCTCAAATATTTGAGCTGTCTGGTCCCGCAGTCACGTCCATTTGTTAAAATTCACATTCTCCATCATCTTGAATCTCTTTGGTTATACAATTGTTGTGATGATGATCCACATCATCATGGGAATCCACATTTTCTTAATGATCTTAAACTCAGCAAGTTTTCATCAAGTATTAAGGAAATAAGGTTGGAGGGTATTACTCTTTCGTTGTCAGCAATTTCAATAATTGCACAACTCTCTAATCTTGAGGCTCTAATACTAGCGTGTTGCAAGTTTGAGGAGGGTTCAGAATGGAATGTGGATGAGGAAACTCAATTCCACAAACTAAAATACCTGGAATTAATCCATCTTGATATTAGCATTTGGAATATTTGCAGTGAAGAATCTTTTCCTTGCCTTGAGCAAGTAATTTTGGATTATTGTGAGGAGTTACAGGAAATGCCTTATGCATTGGCAGATATTTTAACATTGAAACTACTCAGTGTGCGTAGCTGCCATAACACTGAAAGTTCAGCGAAGAAAATTGAGGAAGATGCACGAGACATAGGAAATGAGCAACTTAATGTCGAGATTATATCAAGTAAGTGAAATGTGTAGATTTCTGATCTTCAATTCACTCTAATATATATTATAACTATTAGAAAGATGATAATTTGATTTTTAATGATAATAAAAATTATTGTATCTCATAAATTTTTAAAACTTATTTGTTCTAAAGCAATAAGCCAATAATATATATATATATATATATATATATATATATATATATATATATATAGGGAAAGGATCAGGTGCATTTGTTGTTTCCCGTGCGGATGTGCGGTGGATTAATGTGCGTGAGGTTTATACTTAATGTGCGTGAGATTATTACTCAATGTGCTTGAGATTTGTACTTAATGTGCGTCATGTTAATATGCGTGAGTTTTGTACTTAATGTGCCTGAGTATTGTGTTTAATGTGAGTGAGATTTGTGCTTAATATGCGTGAGTATTTCAGAATTACGAGCTCAGAAGGAAGCAGAACAGAAACTCACGCACATTAACGCCCAAGCTTCTTGTTACTTCTTCCTTCAATTTGGCCATGGATTCTGGATTATCAGCTATCTTTAGTGCAGTTGAATGTTTATATAAATGACGCACGCTCAGTAAAATTTGCACAGTAGCTAAGTGTGAATTTTTGTTGTATTATTCCCATAATTCTTAACCACCATAGCCCGCCTCTGCATCATCATCATCAGGGAGGGGGCAAATGGCTACTGGGGATGGGGAAGAAGCTGACATCAATATTTTTTGCTGCATTTTACACATTCACGCACATTAAGTACAAATCTCAGGCACATTAAGCACAACACTCACGCACATTGTGTACAAATTTCACGCACATTAATCCACCGCACATTCGCACGGGAAGCAACAAATGCACCTGATCCTTTCACTATATATATATATATATATATATATATATATATATATATATATATATATATATATATATATATATATATATAAAGAAGAATCAATTGAATGCATTTCTACTTTTGGTGTTGTGCGTGGGGTCCGGCCTACTAAGTTTCTTCATTTGTTTTTCAAAATTATTGACAGGTAATTCAGATACATGGTGTCTAACGAGAAAAGTTTATCAAAATCAGGAACAACGTAGAGGTAACAATTAAGTAAAGAAGTGTGACTGTCAGACTGTGTGAGCAGTAGTAAAGTAGTTTGATGTGTGAACTACGTAATTACAACTTGTTATCACTTTTATACCAGATTAGCAGCCCGTAACAACCTGTGAACTAATATCATCCGATCCATTCATCTAGTCTAGGATGATAAAAAGTTGAAAATTAAATAAAAAAATATCGTAAAATTTTTGTAATTATCATGATTTATTTTGGAAATATTTGATAGTGCATAAATGGATAACTGAGAGTACACTACTATATTAATTATCTCTATGCACTGTCAAGCGTTTTCAAATACACTATCAGTCATTACTAAAATGTCACCCCTTTTTTTTTTTTTTTGAATATATTTCCAGCACTTAGTTATCTTAGATTTATGGATGGGATTAGTCCACAAGTTTTCATGAAACTAATCCGTTTATTTTGTTTGCTACATATATTATGTATACAATCAAACCAGCTCTTTCTTTTTCATTTATTTTTAAAAAATAATTTTTTTCATTTATTTTTAAAAAATAATTTTAATTTCATAAAATTTTGATTTTTTTATGTTTAATAATAATATTTTGGAATAAGGGTCAAATTGACCATCGAACTACACTAGAAAATACAATTAGGCCATTGAACTCGAAAAACATGCAATTAGGTCCCTGGACAACGCAAAATAATGCAATTGAACCCAAAATGACTTGATTACCTGAAGTAGAGATTATTTAATTAAAATAATAATTTCTTATTTATTAACTAATTTAAAAAAAAAAAAAAAAAAACCTAGCGTCTTCGTCGTCTCCAGGCTGCCGGACGAAGAATGAGTCTTCGTCTCCGGCCTGGAGGCGAAGGGACCCCTTCGTCTCCGGCCTGGAGGCGAAGGGACCCCTTCGTCTCCGGCCTGGAGACGAAGGAACCCCTTCGTCTCCGGCCTGGAGACGAAGGAACTCCTTCGTCTCCGGCCTGGAGACGATGGAATCCCTTCGTCTCCTTGCCGGAGAAGAAGGGACGAAGTCTTCGTCCCTTCTTCTCCGGCAAGGAGTCGAAGGTTTTTTTTTTTTTTTTAATAATTTTGTTATTTATAATTATTAATAAAATTAAAAAAAAATATTATTTTAATAAAATAACCTTCACTTTAGGTAAGCAAGTCACTTTTAGATCCAATTGCAATATTTTGCGTTGTTCAGGGACCCAAATGCATGTTTTTTGAGTTCAGTGGCCTAATTGCATTTTTGTGTGTAGTTCGATGGCTTATTTGACCCTTATTCCTAATATTTTTAATAATATAATTTTAAAATATATACATTTTATTGTACAAAATTAAACATGCAATTGCAACCATGCATGCATTTTAGAGCAAAGGTAGAAACATTCTTATTTCATTTTAGCATAATTTTTCTAGCTTTATATTTATACGGTAGAAAATTAAAGCACATTGATCACTATATATATATATATATATATATATATATTCTTTAACTTCTTTTATAAACTTTAGGCATTTTAATCAATTTATTAAAATATTTGAGTGGTCGCCTTTGATTGGGACTGATCATACAGTACATGAACTTAATTCTTAAGTACGTAGTTTGACCAATACTATTACTAGCCAGGCTTAGCTTGTTTGCAAATTGCTTTAAATAATGCATTTCTATCTTCAAACATTTGGTGCGTGGAGTCCTATTAAAACCTCTTGTTTGGTAATATGATTGGCAGAGAGGTGGGCAAGAGAAATGGCTGAGGAGATGGCAACAGAAATGGCTGAGGAGAGGGCAACAGAATTGGCAGAGTGTCAAAGAAATAAACAACTCCACACTCCACTATTAAAATATTGGGGTTCGTTAGTTGTTCTAACTTTAATTTTGTTGTTCTTTTGTTTGTTGTTCCAGTAGTCAGTTGTGTGTGGAATTATTGAACGACGGAAATATTTCAATATCAAGTAGCTAAATAGTTATTTTAAATATCTTTATCCCATCTTGTATTGAACATCTTTCTTCTTTGATATAAATTTCAATTGTTTACCTTCAAAAATTCTCTTTCGAATAAAAATACAATAAAAAGAATTCAAATTTATATATGTTGTAAAAAAATAGCTAAAATGAGGGGTAAATTAAGTTTTCAACTTACACTAAGACTGATAGAATTAATTCGCTCCGCATTTCGCGTCTCCTTTTGCTATCAGATGACGGCACCGCCGGGGGCCGTCGCCCCCCACCACCGCGTTCCTTCGCAGATACACTCTCCAAGGCTTCAGAGGAGTCACCCCTTCGACCGCCAGGCAAATACAAGGGCATGCCAGCGGTCTCTTTCTCGGATCAAGATATTCACCAGTTCTCACTGAAATTCAGATATGCTCTCGTGGGAAAATTTAATTTGCCAGAGGACGATTGGCAATGGCGGAATTACGGAAGGCATTTGATCAGATTGGGTTCGGGGGAGCTTTTTCGCTTGGCCTAATTGATCAGCAACACGTTCTCATCAACTTCGATCAGGAAACCAATTTTCAGCACTGTTGACTACGCAAGCTAGTCATGGTCTATTCGAGGTTCTATGATGCGAGTTTGAATCTGCCCGCTGCACCCCAGAATGAAAAATCGAATGATGCTCCGAACGACCCAATTGTTATGGACTCAGGAAGCTCAGCTTCAATTTTTCAGATCATATCGGAATGGTACTGATTGATGATCACGGCGTCCGGTCCTCATCGCACTCAGATTCCCAACCTGGGCACTTATCGGATGGTGATGATGTGAATCATGCTCAGGAATTATCGGATGGTTTCATTACAGTGACTAAGAAAAAAAGCCGCCCCAGGAAAGATTACTCTGCAAACGTTCCCTCTGCCAGTCTGCCACCACCCGCCTCGCTGCAGGTAAAATCGCGGGAATTTCTTTCTTCCATCGTTTGAAATGAATTTGCTAAGTTGGAATGTCCGGGGTCTGCTATCCTCATGGCGCAGACTCAAACGAATCCTGAGACCGACGTGAGCACGTTAATTTGGTATCAATAATTGAGCCTTTTATCAGTTCTGACCGTCAGGACAGTTTTGTTCGAGAATTCAAATTTTCTAATGGGTTTGCCTCTTTGGAATCGAAGATTTGGATGTTATGGTTAGACTCTATAGAAGTTGAGGTCACCTTAGATTGTGAGCAATTTATTTTTTGTAAAGTTCGATATGTTCCGTGGAAATTCAATTTTTTGATTTTTAGCGGTTTATGCAAAGCACTCCAGAGTGGAGAGATCACAGTTATGGGCACAGCTAGCGACATTGCTCGATGACAGTATGCCCATTCTTCTTGGAGGAGACTTTAATGTAATTTCGAGTATCACTGGATACAGGGGTAATGTTGTTCCAGAACCAGCAAGCATCTCGGATTTCTTAGACTTCATAAATGGCAATTATTTAATAGATTTGGATAGGTGACGGATATATTGGGAATCGACCAGAGGGCGGGAAGCAAGAACGGGTCCCGGGGCGGCGCCACGTACCCGCCCCGGCCGAGGCCTCGCCACGTGGCCCCCGCACGGGCCACGTTGGAGGCCGGACCGACCTCCACATGGGCCCGGGCTGGCCCCCGCAGCGCAGCCCGGTCGCGAGACCGGGCGCGGTCAACTCCAGATCCAATTAACCCCCCCGTTTTAGGGGGAGGCGGTTGGAGGCTTGGCTTCTATAAAAGCCCCCCTCCTTGTCCTAACAAGGGACATGCTATCTACGATCTACTGTTCTTACATACTTTGTCCTAAAATACTATTGTAATAGCCAATTCTACGGCCTTTAATACAATCTACGGTCTCACGGCCTTTGCTATATCGTTCGTATTACTTATCTATTATTCGTATTCTTATTCGGGTTAATTAAGTCGGACCCCCGGTTTAATTAATTTCATCAATAGGATTGGAGGTCAATATACCTGGCATGGGGTTCGAAATTCGGGGCTGGTTTGGAAGAGGCTGGACCGCTTTCTCATGAACCCTTCTATGAGAGACTATTTTTCTAAGATTCGTATTATGATTCTAGCGCGAACTTCATCTGATCACTCACCGATACTTTTAAGTGGATCGAACACGGCCATGTCTTCTCCCAAGCAGTTTCGTTTTAAAACATGTGGATCACTCATTTTGGTTTTAATTAAAGACGTTGTTAAATCAAGTTGGGCACAGCCAGCTGAGGGAGGTGGGATGCGCGTGTAACACCCCGTGTTACGCCCTCTAACCCAAACTAATTATTTAATTACTTACCCTTAAAAGGGAGTTGAATTCCCTTAATTAATTAGGAAGGGTCCACCATAGACCATGGACCCTTATCCCTAAACCAAACCCTTAGTCCTATAAGGATTAGAATAAGTAGATCCCTACCATTCAGACCCTAATTAGGACTCTTAAATATATATATATAAGGACATAGGAGGCACCTAGAATTCACACCACAATAGATTTCACCACACAAGAATTCCCCTATCACCAAACGTAAGAGAAATCAAGAAAAGGAGATCTTAAAGAAAGAACCTTAGTAGCCAAGAGGCTAAGAGGTAACCCTTGTCTCAACAAAACCTATTTTCCTTGCTATAATCTTCGTCTTTGGCTCATTTGATATGCAATTCCATGATTGTGTCTTGATAAGGCTTTTTATGATGATTATGCGATAATCTTGATGTTGATGAGATGATCTTGATGTTTATGTGATCTTGATAATCTTGATATTTATGAGAGGATCTTGATACTTATGTGTTGATCTTGATAATCTTGATGTTCATGATTTTAAAGATGAAAACATGATCTTGTGCTTTAAATATGATTAGAGCCATAGGGTAAATGGTGGATTTTGGGTTATGATACTCTTGGTATGTTTGGGAGGGATTATGCAAGTTCGGGTATTTGGTTTTGATTATGTTTAGAAGTCATGTTAGGATGTATTTAATGTGATTTTTGATTTTAATCCATTACTTGATTACGTGGTGTCGTCGTTTGTGTTTAAATGTGTCTGGACATGGTTTCGGGTTCCACTAAAGATCCCGGGACCAATTTATTACAAAAGAGTCATGGGGGTAGGTGGGGGCAGGGGTTCCCGCCACCTACCCGCTGCCCCAAAGAGGCCGCTGGCAGCGAGCAGCCGGCGGGTGGTCCTCCTCCCGCCGGCCACCCGCTGGTTTTCCCAAGGTGGAATTGGTGGTTTTCCCCGTTTGATGTTTCCCCGTGCCCCGTGGTGTCCCACTGGACCCCGTTTGTTGTGCCTGAGTCTAGTTTGATGTTTCGGGTACCGTTCGTAGGATAAAAGAGTCTTATGTATTGCATGCTAGTCGAATTGGTATCCCGTTGGCCTAGGTGCAAGATGTATGAACCCCTTAGGCATATCTCTAGTAATGTGGTTGACCACGCATAAGTTTTATATACATGTTTTCCCCCTCCTATGTGCTAATGTGGGTTGCATGTGCTTGGCTATGTGTTATGTGTGCATGATACCCCAATTGGTTGCGATTAATTAGCTATACGGGCAGTTGGATGGGTTGAGAACCATCGGCCATTAACCAGGCCGGTTGCGATCGGTTAGGTATATAAATATATATAGGGCTGCGGTCCACCGTTTGGTTGCGATCAAACGGTATAAACGAGCTGCGGTTCATAATCTGGTTGCGATCAGAAATACACACTATTCGGGCTGCGGTCCACCGTTTGGTTGCGATCAAACGTTACTATATGAGCTGCGGTTCATCGATTGCTTACGATCAATCCCCTCGTGCTGCGGTACGAGGCAAGGTGCTTCGGGGTCGTGTCAGAGCTATATGCGCTGACCCTCATGTATGGGCATGCGATTGGTCCTACGGCACCACCAAAATGTGCTTATGTGTTGAGATAATGATTGGATACTGTTATGTTTGATGTGGAATGATCTTGTGAACTTAGGGTGTATGCGAGTATCTTTATATGCGTAATTATGATTGATGAATGTGCCTATTCTTACTTGTTGAGTCTATTCTCGGTTTTAAATTAGAATCTCCTAAGAATATATATCTTCCGGCTTCAAAATGGTTTCTTTATATATATATATATATATATATATATATATATATATATATATATATATATATATATATATATATATATATATACATACCTATATTGTATTTTAACGCGTTGGAGTGGATTACCAACATTATTCGCTGAACAGATATATTTGGCTTTCAAGCACAGACGAGTAGCTCCGGAGCGCGCTAGAGGACCTGAAGCTTAGTTAGTTAGTTTTCTTTTCGGCCTACGTGCCATGATGATGTATTGACAATGTTTTGAGGATATTTAGATAGTATAGCCTGTGCATCTGAATTCTCCAGCTCAGATGTGGCATAGCACCCCAGACACTTATGTTTTGTTATGCCCTGTTTCGAGGTTTAATGACAGTATTGCCTTTATTTCATAAGCATTCAAAGTTTTAAATTTTAGGGGTGTTACAGCGCGCGCTATCATTCAAGTTAAATCGCTAAGCGCCTCAAACAAATCCTCCGAGCATGGAACAAATACACTTTTGGAAATATTTTCGATCGTGTTTAGATTCTGGAATCAAGAGTGACTGAGGCAGAGCGGAATTTTGAGGATTGCCCCACTTCGGAGAATCGGGCTCTGATCTGCTGCACAGGCACCATGCGGGCCTTCTACTAGCGTTGAAACAATAAGAATTGTTTTGGAAACAGAAGGCTCGGGTAAAATGGCTTAAGAACGGAGACACTAACACTCGTTTTTTCCATGGTGTGGTGAAAGACAGGCACCGAAGACAGAAAATTTTTGCAATCGGAGACAATTCCGGCGAACTCCTAACTTCCTGCGAGGCTATTCAAAACGAAGCAGTCACCTTCTTTTCTAAACTATTCTCGGCGGAGAAGTGCTCTGGATTGGAGGCACTACTAAGTTGCCTACCGGATGGTTTCGTCTCTTCCGATGTAACTGCGTTGTCAGCGCCCGTCACCCACAAAGAGGTCAAAGACGCGGTTTGGAAATTGAACCCGGATAGCGCGGCTGGTCCGAACGATTTCTCAGGCTCCTTCTCCAGACATTGTTGGGAAATCGTTCAGGACAATGTCGTTTTGGTGGCTCTGGACTTTTCTGTTGGTTTCTGATTCCTCGGGCTCTGGCTAGCGCCCAGATTGTTCTCATTCCTAAAAAGGCCAATCCTGACAGGTTTGCGGATTTCAGACTAATCTCCCTTTGCACTTTCATTAGCAAGGTTTTCACTAGAGTTCTTTCATCCCGTCTAAATGCAATTATGCCCAAATTGATTTCCAGGGAACAGGCGGGGTTTGTGGGAGGTTAGAGCATTCAAGATAATGTTTTACTGGCTTTTGAATTGTTGCAGCATATTGATAGACGTTGTCGCGACTCCAATGTGGTTATTAAGCTGGATATGATGAAGGCCTTTGATAGGGTTTCATGGCCCTTTCTTAGAGCCGTCCTCGAAAAATTAGGCTTCCCAAACACCTTCATTAATCTTGTCATGCACAATCTGGAGGCAACAAGACTGTCAGTTTTGGTTAACGGAGTTAGCTATGGATTCTTCCAACCTTCGAGGGGTGTGAAACAGGGTGATCCACTTCCACCCCTACTCTTCATCTTGAGCATTGCATATTGCTTTGTAGCTAGGAGATTTGGTTTTATTTTGGAAATATGAAATATTTGGTCTATCCCTGCAGAATTCCAACAATGTGTGAACAACGTGTCACTCCTGGTGGTTGCTCTCCTCACGCATCTCGGCAGCCAATCATTTTGCGACGATAATGTCGTGCCTTTTGCTTTGGTTCCTTTTGCGAGAATACAATGAAAGCATCTATGAAGGATCTCCTTTCTCGACGACGGGCCTAATCAAACGAATAAAACATGAGTCGTTGTTAATCTCTCACACTCGTTCATTTCGCATCCATGGTGCATCGGCTAGCTTTTTGCTTTCTGCAGGTCTGGTTGCTAAGTTTGATGCACCATCGAGGTGATTGTCAGTTTGGGTTAAATGGCTAGCGCCGCCATAAGAAGGTTGAAGCTCAACACGGATGCCCTCTTTTTGCCCGAAGGTGCGGCAGGTGGGGCATGCGTGAGGGACCATCGTGATTACATGGTAGCCGGTCTTTCTTTTAATCTTTCGGCTTCTTCAGCCCTTGAAGCTGAGGCTTTGGCTTTGCACTTTGCTCTTCAATGGTGCGACACTATGGTGATGATTCTTGCTCTTGTGGAGGTGGATTCTTTTGCACTAGTCCATCTGGCATCCTCTTCATCGACGACAACTCCATGGAAGTTTAGGGATGCCATCCTCTGCGCACGTGCTTGCCTCTCATCGTGGGGCTCCTCAATTCGACATGTTTTTAGGGAGGCAAACCAAGTTGCTGATGCCCTTGCGACAGTCGGTCTTAACACTCGCTCAGCCTCTATTTACTGCTCCATTAGCTCTTTGCTTGTAAGTGTAAAGCTGGCTCTCTTGTATGACCTTCGGGGTTTTGCGACCCACCGAGCTATAAGCCTTAAATAAAAGCTCGTTTTCTTATTAAAAAAATAGCTAAAATGACATTTATTAAGTTGACATTTTGAGTACTTGGGATTACTTTTTATTTTAGTCGGATCAAAGCAGATTCAAATTCTCCTAGTTTAGAAGATAAATTTGATATATTATATGATCAAAATGTATAATGATGAATGAATAAGAAATTGATTATATCAAAATGTACCAATTGAGTTTGAAAAAATGGAGTTTGGAAAGGGTTTTAAATAGGTTTTTCCTTATATTGGAAATAGATAGTGTATAAGTTTGCACTAGTATAAATAAACTTTAATTTTTAAAAGAGTTTAAATTGTGTAATATAGAGACTTTTCGGCAATTTATATCATGGACCAGTGTTAGGAACATATGTATTAGGATTTTGATGATACCAATGTAACTTAGAAGTAGACCCCTAACTTTTTGTCATTTATTTTGTTACCTTCGTCTTAGACGAAAGGTACCATAACTCACTGTGTAATTCGTGTTAAGTTAGCGAAATACACGAAACCGAGTTATGATCTTTTGGTTAGGGTTCTTTGAACGAAAGAAGAGCTGATTAAGCAGAACCACATCTCGGATGGACCACGAATGAACAGATCATCCCTTACAATCGAAAGAAGAAACCGAAAGAAATCTTTCAACCAGAGACATCACATCTAAAGTTCTGACTGCCAAAACAATCCATCTTCTCTCAACTCAAGAAGAATGTTGTCAAATGTGTCTGTAACACCCCTAAAATTTAAAACTTTCAAAGCTTATGAAATAAAGGTAGTACTATCATTAAATTCTGAAACAGAGTATACTAAACACAAGAGTTTGGGGTGTTATGTCACATATGAGCTGGAGAACTCAGATTCACAGGCCATTCTATCTAAATATCCTCAAAACAAAGTCAATACATCAATGTGGCACGCAGGCCGAAAGGGAAACTAGCTAACTAAGCCTCGGTCCTCTAGCGCGCTCTGGAGCTACTCATCTGTGCCTGAAAGCCAAATATATCTGTTCAGTGAATAATGCTGGTAACCCACTCCAACGCGTTAAAATACAATATAGGTATATATATATATATACATATATACATATATATATATACATATATATATATATATATATATATATATATATATATATATATATATATATATGTATATATGTATATATATATATATAGGAAAACCATTTTGAAGCCAGAAGAAATATACTTAGGAGACTCTAGCTTTAAAACTGAGAATAGACTCAACAAGTAGGGACAAGTACATTCAACAGTTATAATCATGCATATAAAGATACTATCATGTATCCTAAGGTCACAAGATTTATTTCACATCATTCATATCATTATTCAATCACTATCTCAACACATAAGCACACTTTGGTGGCGCCACAGGATCAATCATGCTTCTGGGCAGCGGGTGCCCGGCGGGCAGTCGCCTGCCCGCTGCCGGCGACACCATTAGGGGCAGTGGGTAGGTAGCGGGTTCCCCTACCCCCACCTACCCCCTACTGACTCTTATTGCAATACTTGGGTCCCGGGATCTTTCGTGGAACCCGAAACCATGTCTAGACACTTTTAAACACAAACGACGACATCACGTAGTCAAGTTATAACACCCCCCAAACAAGCTAGATAAAAAGCCTTAACACATGTAGATCAAACAACAAAACTAGCACAGCGGAAGATAAAACGAGAACTGGATAAAAGAAATCCAAACGTGGTGTTACGCCACGTCTACCAAACACGGTAAACGCTACGGCGATCAATCTGCAAGTGTATACATCTATCCCAAAGACATCAGTCTAAAACTACATTTGGCGCACAGGCCACAAAACAAGGATCAAGGTACTAAGCTACCAGGCACTAGACATCGCGCGCGTCTAAACATCACCTGAAAGATACAAAGATAAACATTGGGACGACGCCCGGTCAGCGATAATTGCTGGTAACCCACCAATACATGTGAAATATCATACATAGAGAGATATAAGTTGTACAACCATTTTCGAAATGGAATACATAAGTATATAAGTCAAAAGCCAAGATCAACAGTCAACACAAGACTCCTAACTCACAAGGATAACACGGGAACACATCCCAAACCACAAAGGTTAACCACAACACAAAGGATAAAGACAAGACCGATGGCAACACATGCCAAAGCAACACATGCCTCCGTGACTACACACGTCACGAGAGAAGAATACACAACACCGGCTACACAAGCCCTCGCAACATCACCCATCACGAGTTGATATGCCTTCCTTATGCCCTGTTCCAACCTTATGGCTACCCCCAACCTTATATCTTCTTCCAACCATTACCTCTAGGACCCCTGCACAACCAAGTCCAACCTTATTCCTCCGGGACCGTCGTCCCCCACCAACGACCACCAACGAGACCACCAATTCATAGTACACAAGGTACCGTACACGGCAACACATGCCCGGATAACACATGTTATCCCCAAAAAACGTGAACCTTACACAAAGGCCACAACTCCATAATCACGTCACGGCCACCACGAGGACCGCTGCAATACCTTGGTGACTAGTGTCCCATACCACTAATCGTGCAATCCAGGTAAAGCCACACACGCACCACAACTCAACCAGAGTCAAACAACGGATCACAACGAAGGTATGAAACATACTCAATCAAGGAACGGGTCACAGCCCAACAACATCAACGATGAATAACACAAGTTATCATCAACCAAATGGAAGGTACAAACCACACACACGCTAGCATTAAGACAATAAACTAGCATGCTTAACAACGGAGAAACTCCAGATAGTTCTGAGGAACACACAAGACACCTCTTGGTCCAATGAAACACAATGTTGAACACTTAGCACGATTCAAGACACCAAAGTCCTACATGGATACCTACCATATAGTTCTAGACACACGAAACATCAAGAAGACACTCAAATAGTTCCATAAAAGAACATCGGGAAGTCAAAAGACCAAATACCGAGTCAAACGGATCACGGGGAATAAATCCCGAACAAACACCACCATGTACCCGCGGGTAGACCCACGGGTAGTGCCCCACCCGTGGTTCCGCCCGCGGGAACATATTCCCACAGGGCTTTGTACCCGCGGGTAGGCCGGCGGGTGGTGCCCCGCCCGCCGTTCCGCCCGCGGGAACACTCCAGTTCCACAACAAATCCCTTCGGGGATTTTCTTCTCCAAACACAAATTCAAGTCCAAAACATGTCAAATCTCACCAAACACAACAAAATGACTTGAATCATGGAAAATGCCAAGCAATGGCGCAAAGGAACCCTAAACACAAGCTCTAGATATGCAATATCACAAGACAAATGCATAAACCCTCACATTTCATAGCAAAACATAAGTAGAATCCAAGAAATCACATATAGGTAAGCAAAATAGGTTTTATAGAGCATGGGTTACCTCTTGTAGACCAAAAGACTTCACTTTACACCACAACAAGCTCCCCACAAGGCTTACTTTCCAAACCCACTTCAAGATTAAACCAAAAGATCATAAAGATCCTACCTTTAAGAAAAAGACAACTAAGATGGAACCAAAAACACAAGATGGACTTAGATCTTACCCTCCTAGATGCTCAAATAGGTGAAAGGTTGAATCTTGGTAGCAAATCTTGGAATCTTGACAAGGGTCTCAACTTGGCTTGGAGAATAAGCTACACTTCTTTTCTAGAGAGAAGGTAGTGCTAATTTCTAGGAATTGTAAGGAATGAAATGAAGAAGTCTTCTAGGTTAGGTTACAATACTAACTCTTGGTGAAAAGTCAAGAATACCCTTACTAACCCTTAGAAAGTGTAAGGAACAAGGGAACTCCCCTCAAAGCTCAAGGTACAACACAACTTTAAGGTTGACTAGTCAAATACTAGTCCTTGAGTATTAAAAATCAGGATTTTAGGAATTAATTCTTCAAATAAAATAGGATTAATTATTCAATTAATCCATGGATTGAATGTGAATTTTTGGGGTGTCACACAAGTATTGGATTAAAACCAAGAATCACATTAAATATATCATATCATGACCTCTAAACATAATTAACACCCGAACATGCAAAATCCCACCCAAATATACCAAGAATATCACAATACGAAATCCATGATTTAACCTAGGGCTCTAATCGCATTTAAATCACAAGATCATAACTTTATCTTTAAAATCAAGAACATCAAGATTTATGAAGAACAACACACAATTATCAGAACAGATTTAGTGCTCTGTAAAATTTTATTTCAGGTAAAAATTGGTCCGAGTATCTAAATTTTTGCCGCCACATCAGCAAACAAATTGGATGGAGAATATATAACCTAAACTAACTATCAGTTAGGTTAAAGGTTGGAATCTCATGAAATGTCAAAAATAACCCTTACCTCTTAAAGTCAAAATTAAACTTTTGAAGATATCTTTGTAAAAGACACCCCTTCCACCCAACCGGTCGAAAAGCTGCCTCTTCAAATAAAAACCCTCCAAAACTTTTCATCTTCCATAGCCGAATCACCCTCAAGCTTCATCTTTCTTAATCTTCATCAAAATGCCAAACACATTATGGCAACCATTGGAGATTCAAGCTCTCAACCGAATGAAGAACAATCCATTCAAGTCAATCTCAACAAGCTAGCTATTGGAATCAAAGCAAGAGGAAGCTTTGACCCCCAAGGATTTCTCAAAACTGCTAATGACTCGGAATTGGCTCAGTAAATTATCCAGGCACTCCAAAGCAGCGAACTAATGAGGTTATGTTCCTATCCATACTCTGGCTTCTATGATGAAGATGTAGCAGATTTTTATGTCCATGCCAAAGTTGTTGGTTGGACCATTGAACCGTAAATGGAACTCTCATCACCATTGATGAACAAGAGTTACACTCAACTTTTGGACTTCCTATGTCTAGTTCAGAACAACCACTGTTGGACTTAGACGTACATACATATGATCAAACCGAAGTCTGGGCAGAAATTAGAAACGAGAATGCATCTCTT